AGTGGGAGTCAGATCTTGGTTCAAATTTCAGCTCTATTATTTACTAATCCTGTGACCTTGGACAACTTACTTTAAGTTTTTGAGTTTGGGTTCCTTCATCCATCATGTACCATGTAGGAATGAATAACAAGAATTACTCCTCACCAAAATCACAATAAAAAGGTAAAAAAAAAAAAAAAAAATTCCCCCACAGATTTGCCATGAGGATCAAATGAAATAGCACTGGTCAAGAGTTTAGGACAGAGCCCAGCACAGCATCTACTCTTAGTAATGATTAGCCAGTAGGATTAGCCCACAAGTATTACAGGAGGGATGAATCTGCTCATTTAACTATGGTAGGTTTTGTGTTTTGCTTTAAATAGTATGCCAACCTCTGCCTAAAAAACACTGCTATTGAGTGGTTAGGGGGCAAAATAGAAAGAGCACTGAACTGAAACTCAGAGATTTGAATTAGTTTAGTCTCTTAGCCTCTCCCACCTTTGTGACCTTCTAGTAGCTACTCATATGTCAAATAATAGTATAGATATATGGGATGGATGCCAAGTTGGCAGAGTGTACAGATACAAAAATGAACTAAGTGAACTCTAAGATCCCGTCCAGTACAAAAATGCTGTGGTTCTTAGATTTTATGTTGGTTAAAGGAACAACTATATCTTTCTTCATTGATAATTCATTGATTAGAATAAAATTACTTTTTGAAGGCTGATAAAAATGAAAATAAAGTATAGATAACTTTTGTAGGCTTAAAACTTCAATCAACTAAATGCAAAGGTTTGGCTTTGAGTCTTCTCTAAGAGATTCATTTACATAAATGATTTGCAATTAGAGTATTATTTAATTGGAGAGTTTCTACTTAGACAGTTTTCATTCCACTTCTGTTAAGGATATAGGCTTATCTGTATCTGGTTGTTTTAGGGAACAAAGAAATTATCTTTTGTTGAACTCCCACAATGTGCCAGACATTTCATATCCAGCTTATCTCTATTGACTTACTAGGAAAAACACAGGTATTGTAGTCAAGAGTAGGAATCAAACTCTGGATTTGCTACATAAGAACTTTGTGTCCTTGGTCAGATTATTTGACTTTTCTAAAGTCTTAAGTTTCCCCATTTGCAAAATGGAGGTAACATTGTTGTGATTATTGACAGTGATATTTGAAAACTACCTATTACAAAATAAACACACAATGTTTAGTTTACTATATAAATGCTAACTGGATACAAAAATTTAATATACAGTTTTAACTTACATTTATATTAAAAATTAATGTTGTTGTTGTTAAGTGCCTTTGAATCCATTCAACCCCTAGTGACCCGTATAGGGTTTTCAAGGAGAGACTGGAGAGCTTGAACTGCCGACCTTGAGGTTCAAACAACTTTGCAGTCCAGCATATACAGATTTAATATACATATATATATATGACTGTGTAACTGTCAAAGATATGGACACACTTGGAATCTAACCATGGCTGTCATGTTTCAGGAGAGTAGGTAAGACTAAAGCCATAAATATTGATCCCTTAATTAAAGTACAAGTCACAAAGATATTTTGACATTTTCAAAATATATTATTATCCAAGATGATGGCTATGGCAAAGTTTGAGGTTAGGCTAACTAGCTAAAAATAGCTAACCAATTACTTTAAGTAGGGAATCACATTTCTCCCTTGAACTGGAGGGAACTGCTTCTCAACACAGAACGAAAACTCACTTTGTTATTTCATCTACATGTGTTGCTGGATATTTGTAAAGTTTGTTTGTTTTGCTCATTCCTTAGAATAAGTCTAGAGTTCATTATAATCTCTCGTCAAAAACCAATCTTGAGTCATAATGGCAGAGAGTACTGGAGTTTAAGTGTTGATTAACTCAATATATATTACTGTGTTTTACTTTAAGTAAAAGACACGGGCCATCAAATATGAAAAAAAAAATTGCTGTCAAAATCTCTATTTGCCCATTCTCAAAGGGCGAATAGTTTTTGTTTGCGTTTGTGCTGAAGCATCAACTTTATTCATCCTGTCACAGTCCTGTGACCATGAAGACCCATTTATTTCAAATAAAAAAAACTAGCTGGTTTTCAGCAGTTGCTTTGAAAGTTTTATTTATTGGAGAAACTCCACTAATAACAATCAATTATAAAAATGAGGCTGTTATGATACGTTCCAAAATTTGACAAAAGATAACTAGTCTTGAATCAGCCTAGTAGTTTATTTCTATATTTTATTTTGGTTTCATTGCAACTGATATCTATTTATTAACAGCTTTCCTTACAATCTCAAGACTTTTTTTTTTTAAATCATATCTAGAAACCTGAAAGAAAATTAGATGGAAGTTTTAGTTTAAAGATTAATTACTGTTCATATTCTTTGTCTTAAATATGAAAATCAGATAAGAAGCCATCAAAACCTAGAGTAAGCACTAAAGCCATCTAAAATTTAGGATTGTCACGAAGAGACATGTTACACATGCTTTTGTAATTGCGTAACAAGCCATTCAGCTTTCTCCAAGCAGATCGGCCTGAGCTTTGCCTGTCTTCTAATTGAGCACAACCCACGGGTTGAAGTTGTGTGTACCTGTGCAGTTTTCCTTGAGTGAACATGTGCAGGCATGAATTTATTGAAAGACTGCTGTGGAGTTACAACTTTCATGATCCATGACACTTTTACAAGAACTTCAAACATATGCAAAGGTCTGCAAAAAAAAAAAACGTGAGGGAATCAAACAGTTCAAATTAATGATTTGGTGATCCACAGAGGCATACAGTTTGATATATAATTGGTTGATTGTATATATTGTTGAAAGAAAATAGAGCATATTAGTTAAGATGTTGGACACTGTCGTTAACTGTTTGTAAAATCTTAGATCAATTATTTTACTTCTCTAAGTCTCAGTTTTTCCTCTAAATGATAGGTATAATAATAAACTTTCCTCATAAAGTTGCTGGGATATAAATGAGATTGCAAATAAAGTGTTTAGCACAATGCCTGGTATAGAGGAGCTGTTATTTTTTTATTACAGTTTCGTGATAGTTAAATGTATTTTAGAAAATGAAAATGAAATGTATGTTTTGAGGGCATAGTTTGAAATTGAATAGAGTACTTAAAGGTCACAGTATCTATAATCCTTACTTTAAAACTTTACGTATAGAACTATAGGGAGAGTAGACTGAATTCTTGACTAGAAAATGGTCTTTTGGCTCTCCTACCTTTGTCATTGTTTTCTTTTCTCAAATAACTGCTCCCCCCTCAAGCTATCAATCTTCTCTCTATTCACAAAGGATTTTGGAAATATTTTTTGTGGCTTTGTGTGTTAGGTGTTAGGCTTCTAACCTCAAACTCACTAGCAGTTTCTTTTCTGTATTTTTGTTGTTGTTGTTGTGTTGTTTTTTACAGTCTCAGAAACCTTATCTTGGGTCACTTTGAGTCAAAATCTTGGTTTTTCCTTTAATCACTTCTCAATCCTTTCACATTTAAATTTGGTTGTAGTTTTTCTTGAAAGTTGACTCTGAAAAGAACATTCTTTAGTAAAGTGATGAGTACAAAAGAGGTGGAATAGGATTGGGTGGTGATGTTTTTACCAGTCTCCAAACTGTTGCTAAATGTATCCTTCTTGATGTCTGCAATATTTGACACTAAAGGCCACCCCTTCTTGGAAACTCTTTCCCACCTCAATCCCTTGCACTCTCTTCCTTCTCCTTTTGCCTTTTAACTT